AAATTCAGATATAAGAAAAAAAATTTTTTTATTTTAACATATGCTATTTTTTTATTATTCATATGTAGAATTAATTTATGGTTTTAAATATAATTTATTAATTATAACGTTTTTACACTTCGCATATTTATAATTTTTGAAAACGCATATATGATATCGGCGGAATTCAAATCTATGACTTCTAGAACATTAATCTAACATGCTAACGCTGAGCTATGATCGCACGCTTACTGAAAGAAGTATTTATATGATTATACTGAATCTTTCACGATCTTACTAGCATAATCATGTAATATTGCAATCCACATGGAAAATTACAAATTATACAATTATATTAACTTCACATGCAATATGTATTTTTGGAATTCCATTGAACATTGAATTTCATATACAAAATGTAAAATATAAAGACGAGCAGACCTAATTTCTTTGCCGCGCGTCTCTGCCTCTTATCTTTTTTTTTTTTTAGTGTGTTGAGTTCTGATCTACAATAATCATACAGTAAATGTAAAACTCCATTTTTTGTAATTTCACATGAAACTATTTTTTTTGTTTATATCTTATAAAAATACCGCTTAAATTTAAAACTACAAGTTATTTTTACATAAAAGTACTACCTTCATATGTATTTTACCATTAATATGTATTTTTACTTTAAAAAATCTGGAAAAGAAAATTTCCTAGTCATATTTAACTAATTTTCCAGTCATAAACATGTAATATCCATGTAAAAGCATATGTATTTTCAGTGTATATACGTAGGGAGGTGTGTGTGTGTGTGTGTGTGTATATGTGTGCGTGCGTGTGTGTGTGTGTATGTGCGTGCGTGCGTGCGTGCGTGCGTGCGTGTGTGTGTATGTGTGTGCGTGCGTGCGTGTGTGTGTGTGTGTGTGTGTGTGTGCGTGCGTGCGCGTATATATGTGTATATATATATATACACATATCTCTCTGAATACACAGAAAAATACCATTCTATTACTAAGAAGTCATTACTTAGTTTACTTTTTTCTTTCAAGTAATGATTAATATATCTTTAATAAAGAATATTTTTTTTAATAAGTCTTAAAACTTATTACAAATTTTTGGAAAACTCATTATCATGTACTCAATAAAAATTTATTTTCTTTCGAAGACTTTATATAATAAATAAATCGGATTTGTTTTAATTCAATGATCTAATTGAAGTATTAAATTTATTATAGTATTTAGAATATATTTCGAATTTTGATGAATTTTGATAGATTTGCGGATACATGAACTTTTGAAATATAATACTTCATACAAGTAATTATTTTGCATTTACTTACAGTATGTATTTTTCTGATTGTATATACTATCTCATTTTAATTTATACTGTCTCACTCTATAACTTTAATTAAGGTTATAGAGTGAGACTAATTAGTGTCTGAACAACAAGAGAGTCAATTTTAATTTATCATGTTTTATCAATTGCCGAGAGAGAAAGAAAGAAATAAAGAAAAAATTATTTAACTTTAATTGAGGTTATAGAATAACATAGTGTAAGTTAGAGCGAAATAATAGTAATATTTTGATAAAATTATTTGTTATCAGAATCTATATATTATTACTATTATTAGACTATTTATCCTTTTGCATAGTTTTGATAAAATGTTGTGTTCAAGAAATCAATTGTATATCTTGAAATGAAATATTGTAGAAGTGAGCAAAAAATTATTAAAATATTTATAATTTTATTAACTTAATAAATTTGTTCATTTTTTGTAACTTTCATCCTTAATACACAATTTATATTCTACACAATTATTTTCTTTAAAATAGGAGTTAATTTGACTAAATAATATCTTATACTTTTTTAAAAATACATTTATGTACTTACTTTATGGAAATGTTAAAATATATATAAAAATTATTTATTAATTTTTTGTATATTTATAAAATATAAATGAAAATTAATCCAGGAATATTATAAATGATTCGTATATACAATAAAGGATCGGAATATCATTGTATTATATGTGTTAAGATACACACTCGAGTTCCAGATTTTTATTAGAAGGTTTTTAATAGAGGCGAATAAGCATTGCTCGACGTGAGACGGAAAAAAAACCAATCCCCACTATTATATCTGACTATAATGCGTTTCTCGCAAAATTTACGGTCAAAAGTTGCATAAATAGCAATTTGAGCGCATTCCCGATTGAACGCGATCATCGAATAACGTGGTAAAAGTGCACTCGATTACTCACAACAACGTAAAATTCATTGCCGGTTTGTTTTTCGAAGTTTTTTCCGGCTGCGTGCAACCACATTTTTTATAAAGCCCACGTCATGATGTGAAAAATGCGTTTACACTCGGTAAATACGCGATGGGAATTAGCCGATGTTTTCGGTCGCGTCAGATCATTTAAAGTCCCAGCTGCGAATCGCGCAGAGAAATTAACGTCGTTACATTGATAGTTAATTTTGATTATCAATTATTTGCCGACGAAATGACGATCGGGCAAATTTGCGTGGGAAATTCATGCAAAAATCAAATTCAAATCAATTCTCGTGACGTCGTACGTTTGCTATGCGCTCCGGTCAAAATTATACCGTCAATTAATTAATATTTGATATCTAACCTAATTAGATGAAATGCGGTTCCATTAGGAAATATTCGCTTAAACGTTATATAATGTACGGGGCGGGAAATTAAATTATATGATTTACTAATTGAACAATAATCAACAATCTGGCGCAACGTTGCGTTATTAATGTATAATATATGGAAGATGCGAGCTGCCGTTTACATGCAGAAAGCATAAATCTAACACGTCAGTTATTCAGCTTGGACGGGTTGAGGCTGGTTATCGCTATTTTGAGACGACATATCAACGCGAACATGAAACATGCGTAATGCGACCGTGAAGCTAAAACTAGAAAAGCTATTTCTATATATTCGCGAAGTCTTCGTATCCGAAGGAAATCTATGCACGGTCACAAAAGATTATGAAATATCCGGTTTAATAAACAAAGAAATAATTGCTGCGTTATTCCAAGTGGCCTCAACATTACGTCATTTCTGTGTACAAATTTCAGCAAATTTTTTTCTAATTGCTTTCATTAATAATTGCTCTCATACCAATTAAAGTTGTGTTAAAAGTGGGAAAAGTACCAAACGTGTCAATTTTATTGTGGTTCGATTAAGAATTTAACGGTTTTTTGTGAAAGTGCCTTTACATAAAATATTTACTTTGTAGGAGCAAAGATTTTAAAATATAAAAATGTAATATTATATTTCATTGTTAAAAATTAAAATAAGAAAAAAATTAAGTTATTTTTTCAGATAAATAGTGAAATAAAAACTTTTATTTTAATTCAAAACTTTTTTGTTCAGTTTTATTACAAAACTTAACAGTTTTTAATCATGAAATCTAACATAAGAATCGTCTAACATTTTCGCGAATAATGCATCACGTGATGTGGAAAAATTAATAGACTGAGAAATTTTCAATCTAATTAACCTAATTACTTAAGTAAATATTTTACTGATTAGTATTTCCATCTCTCTCTCTCTTTCTTTCTCTCTCTCTCTCTCATTCATTCATTCACTCACTCTCTTACTTTCTCATATACACAATCTCTCTGTCTTCGCTCGATAATAGTGGTCCTATCAAATATCTACTTGTAAGTCCACCGATGAATGAGTCATTTTGAACATTTGTCCGATGACACATTTGTTTGTTTAATTGAATTTTTTTGGTGTGAGCTGCCCACTGGCCTTGATTTATTCGCGTGTAACGCGCCCTCTACAACCTCGGGGTCCAACCTCGCAAATTTATGGCATACGATTTTCCAGGGTCACGTACGTATATAATCGCAGTCTGACCGACTCATGCCACCCACTTCCCGATATCGTGCCAGATAATGCTCGCCGATAAGTCTCAGCAACCTGTCGACATCCGCATTGTCCTGCACGCATACATAAACTCGCATATTTCCTCCAATATTCCGCTCACTTCCGTGACCCGTATTGCAGAGATTACATCCGTAAAAACAAATAGAAATAGAGAAAACAAGTAGAAATAGAGCAAAGATTAAATAATAACTTCCGCCAATATGATTTATATCGATTTTATTCCATCAACAACCTACAACTTTTTACTTGGCTTACTTGAGGACTGATTGTCGAAGTGAAATAGAATGAAATACTGTGTAAAACGATAATTAACAATTTTATATTTCATAATCTAAATCGCAATTGTTCTAAATATTATTTTTATTTTTATTTAATTTGTTAATATCTTTGATATATATATTTTTTTTTTATTTTTGACGATTTCAGAAGCGATCAATTCGACTTATCAAATCAATCGTTCATTAAAGATCCCCAAGCGAAGTGTCGTGTCTACGTATGTGTTATCTCAGAATTCAGTTGCGAGAATCAATTTAATTAGATGTGCCTTCATCAATTGCTACAGAACACGGAAGGAACATTCGCGTTAATTGAATGCATGCGGTCGCATCAGATGCGTGCAACGTTAAATCCAGATTCCAGTGACGAGAGATCCGTTATTAACGAAAAATAAAAACAAAAAATTCATCACATAATTCTACGTGAATCCTGCATTACATAACATTCGACAACACAGTTAACCTTACATTACTTGCAAAATTTATTTAACTCACTTGGAGTGTTTCTGACATACATCCCAATGTTATATTAATTTTCATCGTTCTCTTCGATAATTTACAATTAAATGAAGATTCACAATGTTCTATACATTTTTTAGATAAAGATAAATGCCAAAATATTTTTTAATTGAGAAATCTTGCTAAATATATAATACTGTATAAATAGTATTCATACATTTAGAGAATTTATCAGGCAGGCTTGTCTTGGACAAGACCTCTCATGAATAATGAAGGATTAACAACAAAATTTATTTTCTAATGGTCTATTAAAATTGATCTATTAAATCAATCAAAAGTCAAATTCGATTATCGCTGAGGCTTTCGCTCTCAGCGATCGCACTTACTTTCCTGTACAGAAACAGAGTGGAGGATTTCAAGGATATCTGGCGTAACTCCTCGCGATAAGGAAGTTTTCAGACAGAAGTCGTCGCGCGCTTTTTCTCTCTGTAGGACTCTTTTAAGTTGAAGAAGGATTCTGATCGAACTGTACGACGATTTACCCGACTGACTATGGTTCGACACGTTACGGACAGAAGGCAGTTTTACACTGACTCCGCTGGTACTAGAACCTCTATGTATACCGTCTACTACCTACCTCACTCGTCACATTGCGTGACTAATGTATATGTTAGTGCGTATCCGTAGTGACGATCATTTACTTATGTCTGTCGAGTCTGCCTGGCAGACATTAATGTCGGGTTTACACTCATCACATCGACAATGACCTGATGGCCTTAGACATCTTGGTCTGATAAAAAATTTCCAATTTTTTTCTTTCTCAGATATTTCTTTATGGTTTAGAAAAAAAAAATTTTGTGTGCTCTGAGTAATTAATTCAATTTTAATCAAAGATATCTATGACACTTCTTAGGAAGATAGTAACTACAATTAAAAAATGATCTGTATTTTATTGAAAAATTAAAAAGATAATCTAATTTTTTGATCACTTATTACATAATTTTTACTTTATTACATGTGTATTTTATTAAATATACATATTTCACAAAGTTTTGTAATGAAAAAATAAGATTTTTTTGTAAATATTTTAAAAGACACTTCAAAAAACTTAGTAGTTCAGAATTTTTAGAAGAAATATCATCAAAAGATTAAATAAAAATTTGTCGAATAAGAATATTCAAGTCATTATCAGTAATCGTATTAACTTGGATCTAACTTGGAATTGTAAAATTCCATTTATTATAGTTACCAAATGATACGAACCAGAGATCTGGATTGAATCGAAATCGAAATTGAAAACGTCCTATAATCTTTTTATAGATAAACCAAAACGATACCAAATAAAGTTCATAATACAGAAATTATAACCAAACCAGTAAAATTATTTTTAGTTTACACTTTTTCGGATATTAATATATAATAGATCTGTTCTTTATAACTGAACTGATTGCATTAGTTCAAAATTTATTCTTTAGTCATACTAGAAGAAGAAAGATAAACTCTGAATTGTAGACAAACTAATTGAATTGATAAACTCTTTCTCCTCCTTGCCCTTCTCTCTTTTTGGTTTGCTTAATCATGTTGTTGTTGCAATTATGATTTGAATCCTTGCACACATATATAGCATACATATAAAACATTGTATTAAATAATATATTCTTTAATTTTTATTTTTTTCTTCTACAATTTAATAGGATAAAAAAAGTTGTTTTAAACTTTAAACTTCTCCCCGCGCAAGTAATTATAATCGAAAAAAATGTAATAATCATTAAAAAACTGTAATTTTTACAGTCTCAGTATTCTTTATTAGTCAAGAAACCGAAACTGAAATCAGAATATTTATTTAATATTTTACTAAACTGTAATTGGAACTTAAAGAAATATTTTGAGTCCAAAGTACAAACAATGAGATACTCAATACTTAATATTAATGCACTGACTTAACTGCATATATTTGAGAGTAAAATACTTTAGAAAGAAATTAAAAATCTTTCAGCCTAAAAATCCTTAATCTTAGAGACTCTTGAAACTAAAGTGAAGAACAAGATAACATTATTTGTTTTGGAAAGAATAGCAAATCCTAATCATTTCGAATGCAGCACGAATGCAATCAAATGTTAAGACAGAAACTTTAAAAAAAATGTTGTCTTTATTCTTTTTTTTTTTTCATTATCATCTGAAACAATCCATGAATAAACGATATTCTCTTATTTAGTTCTGCGAGAATTAATTATAAGTGGTAAACAGTGAATGGAACTTAACGTGAAGACGCGGATATGAAATAATTGCATTTGGATTAAAGATTTTTCAATTGCAGTGAAATTTCTTCGTTGAATAAAGGGTTATTTGTGATGAAAGATCAATTATATTACGAGAATGGACATATTTTACTGAGAAATATTTATCATAATTCTCTTTTTTTCTCATTGTTAAGCTTGTAAAAAGCCTTAAGCTATGTAAAAATCCGAACTTAAAAGAAAAGAATTTGCAAGTTTGCTGTTTGCAACTGGCTTTCTTCATGACATCATACATTCTCGTAAATTAAATTTTTAGCGGAAGTGGAAAGAGTGCATGCTTTTCTATGAAAGATCTTTTTACAATGAAAAATTGATCAATCCCGCTCGGTCGAAAAAGATTACATCGAACATCCTTCCGGATATAATCTCCCGAATATCACATCGTTCGAAAAATCGATATCAAGAGCTGTTCCTTATCGAGAGCATCCTTATCGATTTCTCACCAAACAGAATTTTCCGTGTTCTTTTCAATTATCGCTAGTGATCTCGAAGAAACGCTCTTTCTTACTGTCGCATCAGTAGCTGCTTCTCGTCTTGGAAGTCCTCCAAAACTCGCGGAATCCTCCAGCGGACGAGCGCGTAATTTGCATACGATTAATCTTGATCAACGGTGGCGACACCCTCGTCCGAGGAATGCTCATCTTCGTCCTTGATCCAGCGGGAATCAGGTTAAATGGTGAACGCGCCTACCAAGACCATGATGGATCGTTACGTCTTGGCGAACCGAGGCTGCGCCAAGACGAATTTGGCATAGCGGAATCGATCTAATTAAGCGCACGCACGACCGCACGACGGAACAAGACGTCGGGCGGATGCGGGCTGATTAAATTGCGGTATGCAGATTTGCGTCAACAGAATATTCCGATTGCGTTCGCGATTTGACAACGCGTTATGTCGCGAACTGAACAATACGATTGTCTAAAATCACACAAGCGCTCTGCTTACGTTTCTTCTATATTCATGGAAAATAGTGATGGCAACTATAAAGATGATAATTGTACAAGTTTTATATTGTTCTCTTATTTTAAAAGGAATGACATAATTTACAAAATTTTTTTAATTTTTCAGAAAAGAGAGAAAAACTATTTTTTAACATATAACAGAAAATTATTAAAATTATTAAAATTATTAAAGTATTGAAATAATTATTGAAATAATGTAATAATATTGATAAAAAGAATATATACTCTTAGGATAATAATCCGTAATGTTATTTTCATTATTTTCGTTTCACAACTTTTAAAAAACTTTTTAAGTTGTGATATTCTATAACATTTTTTTTATTTTAAAAAATTATAACAAACCCGAAATAATTTATCAAAAATGACATAATTCGAGTTATATAATCAAGTTTATCTTGATTAATTAAAATAACTAAAGTAAAATAATTTTAAAATAAGACATTTTCTTTTTCAAATTTCGGTTATCAAAACTGTCACTTTAAATCTTCTTTATAAAAGATGCTTCTTTTTATTTACAAAAACGACAAAATTCAAAAGTGTTTGTCATTTTTGTAGAAGGCATCACGATTTCTCTCAAACCCTAAGGATGACACAAATGTTATTTGGCGGATAGATTATGAAATAGATTAAATACTTAGTCTACTTTTGATGATTGAGTAATTTTTATCTAACTCATTTATAGTATAACTAAAATCACATTTCTTAAATTATGTCACTTTTGAAGTAAGGGAACGAATATATGTAGAATTAATATACACAAATAAATAAATATAAATAAATAAAATATAAATATATAAAAAAATATAAAATATAAAAAAATAAATATTAAACTATTTTATAGTTGCAATAACTACAAAATAATTTATTCAATTAAAAAAAATTATATTAACTTGTATATAATTAAGGGAAATAAAGGCACAATTCTACTTAGGCTCTTTTTTCGGAAATTAGCTTTTTTATACAATATTAATTGTAATAGAGAAGTATTGTAAGTATGTAATTTCTTAAAGACATTACATAATTATTTGATTATACCCATTTATGTATAATAAAAAAGTAATAATTTTGATTAAAATCAAGATTTTGTAATTAGGTCTTTATTTCGCCTATCCCCCTCTCAATTGACAATTTTGTAGTTGTCATCATTTCTCTTTTTTCTAAGTGCTATAATATCTCTCTTTTTTCTTGATTTTAAATTGACAAAAAGAATATATCATCATCGCACATATCTTCTTCTGCATAAAGATAAATTGAATAAACACATAGAAGATTATTTTACATTATATCCAATAACACGAAACGATTGAATTTATTTTTTAAAACGTAGAATATAATTGCGTGTCATAGAAGTTCCGAGTTACATCACGCGTTCATCTCGCCAGATGAGTGAGTTACGTAACTTACACTCGGGAAGATGGATTGCCGCGTCTGAACTGTTATATTATAACGGATTCAGTTGCGAGAATCGATTTAATTACATACGCTTTTATCAATTGTTACAGGATGAGAAGATAGCGTGTTAATTGAACCGACGTGACGAACATATTCGCATCATATTGTATGCGACATTGAACCTAATCCCGCAAAAAGTCACTCGCTTGCAAACTTCGTAAAATAGATTTCCATACGTTATATTATTATATGATTTTGCTTAAGAGTTTCTCGGAAAGCCAACTGTAATTATTATATGCGCGCAGAAAGTATTTCTCTATGTTTATTATTCCTTTTTTTGCCCATTTTTATGTGTATTCGATATTAAAGCGTAAATCGATATTCGCGGAAAGCAGCAGCTCGTGTGATCCGCAAACTGAAATTTCCAGCATACACAACATATAATTATTATTTATTTGACGCACGTACGCGCGCAGCCCCCTGTCATTGCTATCTTCGATACTTAAGCTCCTTTTTTTGTCTCGTTCATTATCATGTACCTGATATCATCAGCTCGGAAAACCAAAAAACAGAAAACTAGGAATTTCCAGAAAACTAGAAATTTTAATATTTGCTAATAATGCGAGAGCAGCTCAATGTGTTATCCTTATCTTCCATCGGGTTATAAGCTCGCTAATAGATAAGCGAATGAATTAGTCGCGTATCTCTAAATTTTCCATAAACGCACAAACCTCATTCCTCCTTCCTCTCTTATCGCAAATATTTAAATTACCAAAAACATTATTTTGAACCGAGATCTGTCTTGTTATAAAAAGTACAGTTATATATTTGTTAGCTTTTGCACTAAAATAATGTCATTTGTATAAATTGATTGTTTGAATTTGAATTAATTGTAGAAGTATATATTTTATATGTTTACATCTATTATTAAATGAAATATTTTTCTCCGTCTAATTATTAGAATTTTAAATAAGAACTTCATTAAAAGAAAGTCATTTTATTAACAAACTTTATATTTATTATTATTACCACAGATTCATGATCATATAGAAAAAAAGCTGTATTTCTTTATATTAGGGACCATCTCTTCGATGACATACAAAAAAGCTTTTAAAATTGATTGATATTCAAAAAAGTAATTTACTAACTTCAGTATTAGCCCTTATTTTTTTTTACCAAACAATTTTAAAGTAATTTTCCAACTATGCCTTCACTAATTTCTTGTTTTTTGAGTTTTATATTACACTTTAATCGAACATACCTGCTTCATTATGCAGATATTTATTCTAAATTATCGTTTAACCAGTCTAAGATAAAAATTCTTTTGTGATTTATAATTACTGTCAATATTAAGAAATATTAACATGTTATTAATCGTGCAATTAAAATATTGATGAAATGATATAGAATATTGATAATAATCTGAATTTTTTTATTCTCGATCATTAATATATCTATCATAATATCTATCATATCTACGATACTGTACAAGAATCAAAAACTTCACCAATAATATTGTCATTTTGTTAGTATTGACAATATCAGTTATTGTCCGTGTACACTCTTAAATTTATAATATTATTAAAATTTGATTGTTGTTTTAATCATTTCTGCAGATTACTACTGCTTCTATTTAATTATGTTTAATTATGCTAATTTAATCAAAACAATGAATTCTAATTTAATTCAAGAAATATATCAAATTTGATTCAAATTTAATTTATTACTTATTAAGCATATGTTAATATGGATGTTGTTTTATTTTGAAACTAATTATAAGCAATTTGACTACAGAATAAATTGATTTATATTTTGACATGCATGAAGTTAAAATTAACAAAATATTCAGTCATTATTATTTCCTTGATAACAACATAAAATCTTTAAAAAGGTGTAAGTTTTTCCATCAATATACTTGCACAACTAAGCTTAAGACATGATTGAAAAGCACAGATAGGAAAAGAAAATATAACAGATTTCAACCTATCAATAACGTATATTATGATATACAGATGAAATCTGTTGTTTCTTGTTCTTATTGCCTATATTTCTCAATTGGGTTTCATATTTTGTGTCCATAAAACTGAGCGGAAAGAAATTATCAATAATATTGATCGCAAGATTATAAAAATCTTGATGTCAGTATTACTGATTCAATATTCATGATTAATATTATTAATTGATGAGTAAGATCCATACAAAACAGGCACAAGTATCTCGCATTAAAAAAATTTGCGAATCCAAAAGCAGCAGATTTAACGTCGTGCTTCAATTGTAAGAAAGGAATAAAACAATGCGACATTTGGTATTCCTTTCCAGTATCCTCTTATCGACAAAGCTCATTGAGATACGAAAACTATCCTACTCGATATTATCTAGCTCAGATACGGAGAACCTTAATTTAGTCAGCGACTAATCCCGAATTTCCATGTCAGGTGAAATTGCATCAGGACTGTGATCGTGGTGCTGCACCGAGTTCTTAAGGATTAACCCTCTCAATTTATTTCAACTGATCTAACTCACTCTCCGGCCACCAAGAAGAATCTTCGCGGAGACACTTGAAAGACATGATACTGATAAAAGATCTCCATTCGCCAAGAGAAACTAGCTTCTAGCCAGTAGCTGTAGTCGCACGCTTTTCTGAGTTACGAAGGCTATCTCGACCACGTTCCCGTGAATGCGCATTGTCCACATTGTGCTGCTTGATGACTGCCGAGCTAAGGATACCGCAGGTAGAGATGCTGAGGGAGTTCACAGTCGTGAAACGCGCATCGCTACGCAGCGTCATCATTTATCTCGCGGAGAATTTCAGATATTTCTTGGGACGCGACGCGATTACTGCAAACAAACAGCGTGTAATTAACAGGAAGCGTTCTAAAACAAACAATAAACTATCATAGTGTTTAAATGCGAGTGACAAAATTTTACATCTTGCACGCGATTATGATACTTCTCTCTCATACAGAAAAAATGGTATTATTTAGGATGGCCAACTTTGAAATATCAACTTTAAGACTTAAAGAATCCATCGGGATTCTTTATTGATATATAATATTAAGCAAATTAAATTAATTAGATATATAT